GGGGTTGGTCTCTTCTGCCAAGTAACTTCTGCCAAGTGATACAATAAGAGGAAACGGCCTCAAGTTGCGCCAGGAGAGGTTTAGACTGGACATTAGGAAAACTGTCTTTAGAAACGGCCTCAAGTTGCGCCAAGAGAGGTTTAGACTGGACATTAGGAAAAATGTCTTTACTGAAAGAGTGGTCAGGCCTTGGAACAGGCTGCCCAGGGAAGTGGTGGAATCCCCAACCCTGAAGGTATTTAAAAGACGTGTAGATGAGGCGCTTAGGGACATAGTTTAGTGGGCAGGGTGGTGTTGGTTTGATGGTTGGACTCGATGATCTTAAAGGTCTTTTCCAACCTTAATGATTCTATGATTCTATAACATTGCATATGTGTCAGAAGTCTTTCAAGGCAGAGACTCCATGTTTACTTAGTAGCGATATCTGCAATTTCTGGCTAAAGTTTACAGAAGGATAATGTTTCCTAGCCTATTCTGAACTTCTAAGATAATTTACAGGTGTGTGGATTTGAAACAAACAGACAACATTACTATAAAAGAGGAATTAGCTAGAATTTTTATTTCTTGAGCTTCAGATCGCTATTTTTTTTACACATCCCCCCTTTTTTTTCCTAAGCTTCATGATAAAACTAGACCAGCCTGAGCAGTGGAAAGAAGCATCTCTTACTGATTTCATTTTACAGTGCAACTTCAAGCCCCTAACGTGGTTTTTTTTTTTCTTTTAAATAGTGCCAACTTAGTAGCACATTTGCATGTTATTTTCCTCTTCTCACTAAAGAGTCATTTTGAAAATATTCTATTAAGAGACTTACAGGAAACATCTTTACTGTACCACAGTTCAGTTCTGAACGCTACTTGTCTGCACTATTTTCGTTCTGAAAATTCAGGAATAGTGATAAAAGAACACTTGAAAATCCTCCTCTATCTTCTAGGGAATTAGACTGTATAAAATCATAGTAAGACCAGAAAGTTTGACAAGCCACCACTGTATTTCACTGTTAGGCAGCCTAGCTATTATGGAGTATGTCCAAAGCAAAGAACAGAGGAAAAAGATAATCTTGTATTAACAAGTCCTAGAAGCTATGCTGAGGCACACTGAGGACAGGGAGGTGATTCGAGACAGCCAGCATGGCTTCACCAAGGGCAAGTCTTGCCTGACCAACCTAGTGACCTTCTATGATGGAGTGACGACATCAGCAGACAAGAGAAGAGCTACGGATGTCACCCATCTAGATCTCTGTAAGGCCTTTGACACGGTGTCCTGGTTTCAGCTGGGATAGAGTTAAATTTCTTCCTAGTGCTGTGTTTTGGATTTAGTATGAGAAGAATGTTGATAACACACTGATGTTTTCAGTTGTTGCTAAATGCCCTGTCAAGGACAGCTTCTATGCTCTACCAAATGCAGAGAACTGGGAGGAGGGAGCACAGCCATGACAGCTAGCCCAGCTGGCCAACGGGGTATCCCATAGCATGTGACGTCATGCTCAGTATATGAATTGTAGGCGTGTTCCAGGAAGTAGCGATCGCTACTTGATTATCAGTCAGCGCAGGTAGTGAGCAACTGCATTGTGCATCGCTCATTTTGTATATTCTATCATTATCATTTTTTTTTTTTTTTCCCCCCTTTTCTGTTCTATTAAACTGTCTT